ACAGACAGGGTCGTCCCAATATGCGTTTTTGCAATTTGCATATAGGCAAAAACGCATAAAAACAGTGATTTGGCTGAAGACTGCAACCAGATGCAAAACAAACAGTTGAATTTTGAATCGTTCAGTCGGTCGGTTGCTCACTCTGTTGGTTCTCTAAATCCCCCAAAAGTGTCCAGAAAGTTTTTCATATTGCGGATTCCATCTCAGACTTTGCGCTACACAATTCCGTTTTTCACAACGCGGTCGTTACTGAACGACCGTACTGGAGAGAAATGGACGCGCAAACAATCATTGAATAGGACCGTGATGAAATCTAATTGCTTTATTTTTCGAACACGGAGAAATTTCAACACAGAACTCGATTTCAAAAACACATTTTTGCAAACGTATAAAGTAGCGTGTATTGGAAGAGACAACCTAAAATGTAGCTGGATGACAAAGAGGGCAAGGCGAGGAGTTTGTTGAGTATCAAGAATTGGATCACAGCATAGTTTAATAGATCTGTTTGGTCTCGAAGGTGTATCTGCGTGACATTCTTATGCCAGCTGCAGATTTCTTGCGATATTTGCTTCGCAGCATTCCGCTGTATTTCACTTGACCCAGAGTCGCGAACAAGAAGGCATCACAGAACTGATAAATATTCCTTGTTGTCGACGCAGCTTGAACTGGTTTCTTCCGACCAGCGTAATATCCCAGCACTGTTCGTACCATTTCGTTCCGTGCAGCTTCGGGTATTTTCCTCGTTTTTTGAGCAATTTTCCTCGTTTTCGACGTGAATTGGAGTGGTTTCTTCGGACTAGCCTAATATCATAGCACTGTTCGTCCCATTTCATTCTGTGCGGCTTCGGGCTTCGTCGCTTCCTGAGCAATTTTCCTTGTTTTCGACGTGAATTGAACTGGTTTCTAATATCCCAGCACTGTTCGTCCCATTTCATTCTGTGTGGCTTCGGCTATTTTCCTCGTTTCCTGAGCAATTTTCCTCGTTTTCGACGCTGCTTGAATTAGTTTCTTCGGACCAGCATAACAACCCAGCACTGTCCGTCCCATTTCATTCCGTGCATTTCCCTTGCTTCCTGAGCAGCTTTCCTTGTTTTCGTCTTGTCTTGAACTTGTTTCTTCTGATCAGTCTATTATCCCAGCACTGCTTGTCCCATTTCATTCTGGCGGCTTCGGGTTTCCTCGCTTCCTGAGCAGTTTCCCTTGTTTTCGACGTGAAATGAACTGGCTTCTTTGGACTAGCCTAATATCACAGCACTGTTCGTCCCATTTCATTCCGTGCAGCTTCCCATATTTCCCTTGCTTCCTGAGCAACTTTCCTTGTCTTCGACTTGACTTGAACTTGTTTCTTTGGATCAGTCTATTATCCCAGCACTGTTCGTCCCATTTCATTCTGGCGGCTTCGGGTTCCCTCGTTT